CATTGGAAATGACTGACTACTTTTCTAGAAAGACGAGAAAATCTAATGAAATAAATAAATAATAATAAATAAAACCCAGGCAAGGGAAGGGTTCTTCGCTCCTTGCCGGCACACCTCTGTCGTTTTTAACAGTGGGTTCCCAGCAACTCCCCCTCCATGGCTGAGATAGTTCCACGATGGGTGATTCCGCACTAGACCTTAGACCCTGGTTCAGCCCTGTCCCCGGACTTACATTCTACACGACACTCGAGTTCACCCCTGTCATTATCTCGGGGTATTTTTTTTTTGTTTCCACATTATATTGAGGTCACCCCAGTTTCGCCCCACACTTGTCCCGGGATAAACGGATGCTGTTATAACCAGGGATAAATGCAAGGTGTTGTGTCGTGAGTTGAACTCTGATGAAACCAGGGATGAGGTCCAAGTGCGGAAAGGACCATAGCCAAAATTTGGATCTTGGCTGCCCACTGGAAAAGAGATACTCCATTGTGGAAGTCCCATTCGTCTGCTTCGTGGTTACACACTGAGAGTTTCTTCAGCCAAGATTGGATCCTTGGTCCTTTCCACACTAGACCTTAGACCCTGGTTCATCCCTGTCCCCAAACTTACATTCTACACGACACTCGAGTTCACCCCTGTAATTATCTTGGGGCTATTTTTTTGTGTTTCCACATTACATTGAGGTCACCCCGATTTCGCCCCACACTTGTCCTAGGATAAGCGGATGCTGTTATAACCAGGGATAAATGCAAGGTATTGTGTCGCAAGTTGAACTCTGATAAAATCAGGGATGAGATCCAAGTGCGGAAAGGACTGATTTCTAAGCACATAGAAGCAGAACGTTCATCTGTAGTTTGGCCAAAGAAGAAGAAATAACATTTGGAGAGAAAGAGGCTCTTAAGGAGGAAGCAGTTATTTTGTAATGGGCTTAAGATGGTGAAGTATATATCCATGGGCCATCCATCACAATTTGCACTGAAATTCCAACCCCGAATCTGGGCAGCAATAGAATAGAATAGTTTGGTAGAAAGCCAGAAAATCCATAACATTCCCTTGCCATGTAACCATTGAGTGAAGTGCTCCTCTTTTCCAAATGCTTTGTGCAAATGAGCATGGGTGGCCAGTTCTTATTTGAACCTAAGAAGAGCCCATCTAGTCTAAGCACTCTATTCATACAGTGGCCTTTGGGAAGCCCACAAGCTAAACATTAGGAAGAACTTCCTGACAGTGAGAGCAGTTCCTCAGTGGAACAGGCTTCCTCGGGAGGTGGTGGGCTCTCCTTCTTGGGAGGTTTTCAAACAGAGGCTAGATGGCCATCGGACAGCAATGTGGATCCTGTGAACTCAGGCAGATCATGAGAGGGAGGGCAGGAAGGGTTGCAGCCTCAGTGCTTAGTTCTTGTGGCCCTTTTTTACACGCCCAGGGAAATGTGGATTGCCACTTTGGGGTCAGGAAGCAATCCTGGAAGTATTTTGTCATCTTCTGGGCATGGAACTGTGGTCACTGCGAGTGTGGAGAGGGAGGTAGTTGTGAATTCCCAGCATTGTGCAGGGGGTTGGACTAGATGACCCTGGAGGTCCCTTCCAACTCTATAATTCCATGAGCAGGAGGACTCCAACAGCATCAACGTTTGGCTGTACCGTTCTCTCAGTCAGAGTCACATTTATAGGGAGAGCAAATAAAAGCAGGTTCTACAGTTATGTTCCCTAAAGAAAAATCTGAAAACAGGAACGAGGTTCACGTCGAGCGAGGAATGCGTGCTGCTTCGATGCTCCTGGGCTACACACCTGTTCGATTTGAAGTGATTCGGAGTCTGCCCAGAGTCAAGCATAAGCCAAATTTGAGAAGTGGAGAATGTTGTTAGATTCGAGTCCAGTCACAGCTTGGAGGCCAAGATTTTTTGTGGTCCAGCTTTCGAGAGTCAAAGCTCTATCGGATAATCCCGGAAGCTCCAGCCCCAGACATCTTATCTTGTTGGACTCAGAAGTAGTACTAGACTCGATTCCAGCTGTTCCACTGAAGTCCAGCATGGCTAACTTTGGGGACCATTTGGTGACTCTGGGGATTGCAAAGCAGAAGTCTTTGCTCTTATGGGCAGGGCATATTCATCCCTTCCCTTTCCTTCCCTCCCCTTTTATTTTTTTAAGTTTTTTAAATTAAAATATCAAACAAAAACTATATGATAAATAAGACCAGTGTGATAATACAAATCCCATTCCAGCACTATAATTGCAACAAAACTTAACTAAGGAACTACACAACTTCTCTTATATTTTCTAAAAACCTTCTTTAAAAATAAAGTAGCTCACGAAAGAAAAGATTGGATGACATAATTTCCTTTTGGGTGTAGTGGTTAAGTGCACGTACTCTAATCTGGGAGAACCGGGTTTGATTCCCCAGTCCTCCACTTGCACCGGCTGGATGACCTTGGGCAAGCCGTAGTTCTGGTAAGAGCTGTCCTTGAAAAAGAGCCGTTTCTCTCAGAGCTCTCTCAGCCCCGCTTACCACACAGGGTGTCTGTTGTGGGGAGGGGAAGGGAAGGGAAAGGAGTTTGTGAGCCGCTCTGAGACTTCTTTGGGTAGTGAAGGGCGGGGTATAAATCCAATCTCTTCTTCTTCTTCTTCTTTTCTTGAAGAAACTGTATGATCGGGAACCAGACCGCTTGAAAATCTCTATAATAAGCACCTAAGTTCTGCAGTCCTGAGGACTGGTCTAATTTTTCTAAAACAAAATGAGTCAATATACCAATGTACCAGCCCAATAAAGGGGGGCTTTTCTCCATTTCATTGCTATTTCTATCTTAGCAATTGACAATAGAGTTGCTATCATGGTTTGTTTAGATTTATCTAAGTGACTCAGTTGGCCTGTTTCCAGAAGGATTACTTCAGGTTGTCGAGAGATTGTTGTACCTGACATTTCTTCTATTTGTGGAAGTACCTGATTCCAGAATCTCTTAACCACAGGGCAACTCCAAAATCAATGTAAATAATCTGCATATAATATTCTGCATTCTTTAAGGCGAAAATCTTAAGAACATAAGAGAAGCCAATGTTGGATCAGGCCAATGGCTCATCCAGTCGAACACTCTGTGTCACACAGTGGCCAAAAATACCAGGTGCCATCAGGAGGTCCAGCAGTGGGGCCAGGACACTAGAAGCCCTCCCACTGTTGCCCCCCTGAACCACCAAGAACACAGAGCATCACTTGCCCCAGACCGAGAGTTCCTATCTATCCCTTGTGGCTAATAGCCACTGATGGACCTCTGCTCCAGATGTTTATCTGATTCCCTCTTGAAGCCGTCAATGCTTGTAGCCGCCACCACCTCCTGTGGCAGTGGATTCCATGTGTTCATCACTTTCTAGGTGAATAAGGACTTCCTTTTATCTGTTCTAACCCAACCGCTCAGCAATTTCATGGAGTGCCCATGAGTTCTTCTGCATGCCCATCCCTCTGTGCCCCAGAAAAGCCTCCCCCATCTTACCTGGCTTTTCTTAAGCATCGTACTGTCAGATCCTCCGGCCTTTGAGTTCACGCAATGTTCCTTTGGAGCCCTCCTCCGTGGGAGTTTTGCCTGAGCGGAAAGGGCCGCGTTTGGCTGGTGCTGAACGCCCCTCATGGATCTGTGCATGCTTTCCCCTCATTGGTTCGCAGAGTTCATGTGACTTGTTTTCATTCATTTGACCTCTTACTATAGCCGTCATTCCATTTTTCTTTCTTGTCAGAGCGAAATTGGACACAGCCCTCCTCCTGCCTACACCCCTATGTCGGGAGTAAGTATTTCACCTTCAGCATTCATCGCTTAGGGGCTCTGTTTGTTTGCATGAATGTATCTTTTCTCCATAAATCTTGCCACGCCTCTCGCCTGTCCTGTGCCAGAATGGACTCTAATCTTGGACAGATGAGTCTAGCCTACAAAGCGATTGCTCTAAGGCAGAGTTCCCCAACATGTCGCCCGTGGGCCCCATGGTACCCAGCCGACCCCTTTCCTGTGTTTTGAGAAAGTGGGCAAGGCCAGATGGAGACTTTGCCCAGCAAGACTTCTGTTTGGCCGATATTGCTTTGGCAGCAGCTGCTATCACAGCATGAGGTGTGACTGAAGGTAGAAGAGACGAGATTAGATTTATACCCCACCCTTCACTCCCCAAAGGTGTCTCTGAGCAGCTTACAAACTCCTTTCCCTTCCCCTCCCCACAACAGCCACCCTGTGAGGTCGGTGGGGCTGAGAGAGCTCTGACAGAAACTCCTCTTCAAGAACAGCTCTGACAGAACTAGGGCTTGCCCAAGGTCACACCAGCAGGTGCAAGTGGAGGAGTGGGGAATCAAACCCAGTTCTTCCAGATTAGAGTCCGCACACTTAACCACTACACGAAACTGGCTGTGGCAGCCATTTTCTAACTGGCTCCCACGCCTGAGGCAGCCATTTTGTCAAAATTTCACAGGTGCCTGCAGGGTCAAAAAGGTCGGGGACACCATCTCTAAGACCAATGGGAAGCATTGGCCATATTTAATAGCTGCTTGAAAAGGACTCCCCACGATACCTTACTGGCGAGAGCTGCCATTTCACTGGACAGTTAAAGATAAGGGAGGGCTTTAAGCAAGCCACTCTTCCACCTGTCAGCTTCTGGTGGGAAGACACCGAGACCATTTCCACAGTCATGAAATCCCCTGTATTGACGTCTTCAAAACTGTGTGGCATGATATTTTCCACAGTAGATTTTTCCTTACCAGGCGTAAACCTGAAGTTTTCTCCTTCTTACCCCATGTATTTGCAAGTTCTGAAAAGGTGGGATAAGAAAGAGAAAACTTCAGGTTTGCACCTGGTGAGGAAAAACCTGCTGTGGAAAATGTCACATAACACACAGTTTTAAAAACTTTGACGCAGGGAATTCCGCTACTGAGGAAGTGTTTCTAGTCAGACTGGGAGCATTGCTTCAACTCTTCCCTTTCCAATAGAGCTACGTCCCTATGCAGGTTCTGTTCCGACCAGTTATCAGATACAGAGTGACCCAGAGGGGTGCCCCTTAACCGGGGAAGCCACTGAGAAGGGGATATATTTGCTTCCTTGAAAGATATGAGGAAGAGCTAAGTGACAGTTTAACGTTTGGCGATCAGCATTTCCCTGGGCGTGTAAGAAAGGCCCCCGAGAACTAAGCACTGAGACAACCCTTCCTGCCCTCCCTTCTCATAATCTGCCTAAGTTCACAGAATCCGCATGGCTGTCCGATGGCCATCCGGCCTCTGTTTGAAAACCTCCCAAGAAGAAGAGCCCACACCCTCCCGAGGAAGCCTGTTCCACTGAGGAACCACTCTAACTGTCAGGAAGTTCTTCCTAATGTTTAGCTGAGAACTTGTTTTCATTGTTGTTGTTGTTTTTAGGGCTTGGAAATGGAGGGAAGTCTGGGGGGACAGGATCATAAGATGACAAGAGTCCCAACTCGATCGGAACACAGACGTGAAGTGAAGGCCCTGCTCTCGTAGCTAGCAGCGTCCCAAAATATGATTTCTACTGTCTTGAAATCTGCTGAAGTGAAGGACCATGTCAAGCAGAAAAGATATTCCGCGACTTTGGGGTCAGGAAGCAATTTTTCTCCATGCCGGTTTGGCCAGGGATCCTGGAGGGTGGGGTTTTTTGGGTTTTTTTGTCATCTTCTGGGCATGGAACAGTGGTCACTGCAGGTGTGTGTGGGGGGGGAGGTATTTGTGAATTTCCAGCATCGTGCAGGGGGTTGGACTAGATGACCCTGGAGGTCCCTTCCAACTCTAAGATTCTATGATTCTATGAAAACGATTTGCAGCTGTCGGTGGCCTGGTTTGGAGGATCCATTTCTCCATTCTTTCTCCTCTGTGTGGTGCTCAGGCTGCTAGGGGTGTGCCTTTGGATGCACCCGAGCCAAAATTATACCCATAGTTAGATGCTTCGGGTTGGCTTGAGGATACCCAAAATGATGCAAAACATTCTCAGGCTTCCAAGAACAACAGAAATTTGTCTTCTGGAATTTCAGGAACATTCTGGGGTTTCATGGAAACAAAGGACTGGGAAGGGAAAGCGAGGAATCCAGTCTGGGGAACCATAGTTAGTTGGCGTCTCTCAGCCGATGGTCAGGTAGACCTGGACTCCACCCACTGAATGTTAAAAGGGAAAAGACTGAACTGGATTTGGACTTAACATGCCAGCATCATATGCAATGGAGGCTTCTCAAAACCAGCAGAGCCCCACCCTCTCGCGGTGGAAAATGGTGGGCCAGTTGGCAGCGATGCTCCCTCTAAGGTGTGGAGTCTCGTGAGCAAAAATTCTCCTTTGTGAGTTACTGGCATTCAAGTTGTGAGCGAGCGATTTGGCTACTGCAGAAATCAGTTTGCTCTGGAGCCCCCCCTTCCTGAGCAAAGACAAAAATGTCTGAGCCGGAGGCTAAAAAACTGTGAGCTAGCTCACACTAACTCAGCTTAGAGGGAACACAAGTTGGCAGGGGCCATGGCAGTGACTGTTTTCTCCCCTGCCACAGGTGTGTGTCTGTGTGTGTTTAAACTGGCAATTGGATAATGTTACATGGAAATATCGGTCTACCAAAAGTACAAAATCTGTGTAGCAATATGTATAGCAGGTTCTCTGAATTCCCAGCTTTTTTTTCCTTTTAAGTCTTGGGCTCAGGGGTCCCCAAACTTTTTGAGCTTGTGGGAACTTTTGGAATTGTGACTCAGGGCAGTGGGGCACCCTAACAAAATGGCTGTCTCAGGAGGTGGAGCCAACCATATAACATCGGGGACTGAGGTGATATAGAACTTTGATTAGTAACTCCTCAGCATTCCAGACAGAAGCTCTGTTGAATAGGATGCCTTTTAATCCGCCCAGCCAATTTGAAGCCCTGCTGAGGAAGACCCTCTCCTACCTCTGCCAACGTTGTAAAATTGGGAAAAATAAAATAAGCTCACCGAAGAAAACCACTGCTCTATGACTTTAACACACTTGGTTGTCCTTTTTACAATATTTATAATGCAAATTTCTTATGTTACACAACAATCATCCTTATGTAAAGTACAGGCCATAAACATAGCTAAAGCCAGTAGATAATGATGTGAGTACAATACAAAATCTTGATGCAGATATTCTTGACCCTGTTGTGGCTACGTTCCTGGAATGTTTTCAAGGCATCTTGATAGAGCTATGAAGTGGAAAAGCAGACTAAAAAGTCTTGGTTTTTCAAGCTCCTAAATAGCATTTATCACTCCTTCGTTTAAAAACGTGTGGATCCAAGGAATACAAGAGATAAAGAGAACACGCTTTCCTAGGATTAACAAGCGGTTTTGGATATCGTAATCTTAATCGACTCTATCTCTCTGTTGGTGTTCATCAACAATCTCTTGACAGAGCACCGCAGGGATGACAATAACGTGGATCAGCGCAATGTCTCTCTAATGTCTTCCCAAAAGTACATCAGAAAAAGATCCAAATGAAGGAAAACTATATCCTAACTGCACTCAATTTATTTTTTAAATATTGAAGTGAACAAAATACAAAAATTATTCATGAAGTACAAAATAACATGAGTACAAAATATATACAGGTATTCAATAGTTATTAGTTGTTGTATTGGTTGTTAACGATGATCTCCGGAATGTTCAGCCGTTTCGAAAGGTATCTTCTTTTGAACAGAAGAAGGCATCTTACAGCATTTTGCCTTATGTAGAATCATCAGGAACTTCCTCTCAGTAATGTTTTGACATATAGAAGAAAATCATGAATTTCTTGAAATATACCACTTGAAAAACTGACCAGAGACGTCACAAGTTCTTCCTTTTCCTTCATCTGTTCAGCCCAGAGGTGGGCAGAGGAGGCCCTATCAGCATCGATAGACCTGCTGGTCTGTTTAGGAGCCACCGTCACCCTCAGGGCCAAGGGATGGCTCTTGTCATAAGTCAGTCTGTGCTCAGTGACAGCACAAATTCCTCAGACAAAGAGTTGCCTGCAGCCAGCCCTCAGCCAGTAATTGAACAACCAGCCGCAGCTTGCTCTGAGCCAGGAGGAGAGCAAGAGATCAGGTTACCAGCTGATCAAAAGTGACAGCCTATAGTTGAAACTGAGCCAATGCCTTGTAGCTCTGAAACAGTAAACAAGTCTTCAGAAGCCACTCCCAGCCCACCTAGCTCACCGACACCCCTGCAGCACCAACGCTGTCAAGAAGCGAACTGAGTTGCAGGAAAGGAGGAGGAGTGCGAGACTCATGTCCCGTCGTCAGCTGTCAACTGAGAAGATAGATGAGTAGTTTCAGGATGACTGCAAAGGAATTGGCTGAGAGTGTAGCTCGTTAAGACTTGGCTATAAAATCAGCCAGGAGAAGCAGCAGCTACTGAACTACTGGCCTTGCTGTTATTGGCTTTTCTGGAACCCCTGACCTTGAACTAAACCTGCTGCCTGGATCCCTTGATGCTAGACTGGACTTGGAATATCTGCTCTCTGGAACCCCTGATTTTTGGACTAGACCTTGGTTACTCTTTGCACCCTTGCCTTGACCTGCGCTGCATGAACCCCAGCCCTTGTCTCCTTGGAGGGCTGCACCAGTACAGCTCCCATGTCCCTTCTCTCAGGTCCCCTTGAGCCAGGAAGCTGCTACAGTTTGTCTTATATGATCTCCATTCATCAAGGCCCAGGGTCCTCACCAGCCCCCTTGTCTTTAATTACCCTCAGAATCTGCAAGGAACAGAAGGCCAGTGTTGTTGATTAGGTGTTCCATGAATTCCCAGTGCTGACCAGGCAACAAGCGCTCCTGTCCCGTTGCCAAAGTAGGGCTAGAAGCCAAGCAGTTTCTACTCAGCCACTTTTGGGGCAACCAGTAATCCTCCACTATTGGTTGGGAGAGTGGGAAGGTTGTCGCTTTAGTTGGAATTGGAATAACAGTAAAGGTGTAAGTCAGTCCCTCCCTCATTGGCTGGATGGCATCGGGTGGAGCAGTCATTTTCTCACATCTGGCTGTCTGAGGGGTAAGAAAAAGTCCAACTCCAGCCCGTTGAATAGTGCTGCATTCTTTGTCCAGTTTTAGGTCTGGATTTGTTGTTTGTTTATTATTTGTCATATTCAAAATGTTTTCATGCTACCTGACCACCTGATCAAGGTTCCCAAGGTGGCGAACATAAAAAAAACACATTTGAACAGTTAAAAACAGCAGAAGTAGGGTCAGTAACCATTTTTTTGGGGGTGGTATACCAAATGAAACAAAAAAGTCTTTAAAGGTAAAAGTTTCCCTTTCTCGAAAGCTAGTCGAATCCAACTCTAGGGGGTGGTGCTCATCTCCGTTCCCAAGCTGAAGAGCCAGCGCTGTCCAAAGACTTCTCCATGGTCATGTGGCCGGCATGACTAAACACCAAGGCACACGGAACGCTGTTACCTTCCCACCAAAGCGGTACCTATTTATCTACTTGCAGTTTCTTGCTTTCGAACTGCTAGGCTGGCAGGAGCTGGGGCCCGAGATGGGAGCTCACTCAGTCACACGACACTAGGGTCTCGAACAGCCGAGCTACCAACTTTCCGGTCTGCAGCTCAGCATCTTAACCTCTGAGCCACCATGGCCCCAAAAGTCTTTGCCAGCTGGGTTGAAAAACCAGTGAATGGAGCGAGTCGAATCTCCCAGGGGTGCCGTGACCGAGAAGGCCCTTTCTCAGGTTGCCACCCATCTAGCTTCAGGTTGCGGGTGCAGGGCCTCCAAAGATGAGCAGAGTGTATGGAGAATGTTTTCAAGGCATCTTGATAGAGCTGTGAAGTGGGAAAGCAGACTAAAAAGTCTTGGTTTTTCAAGTTCCTAAATAGCATTTATCACTCCATTTAAAAACGTGTGGATCCAAGGAATACAAGAGATAAAGAGAACACGCTTTCCTAGGATTAACAAGCGGTTTTGGATATCGTAATCTTAATCGACTCTATCTCTCTGTTGGTGTTCATCACCAATCTCTTGACGGAGCATCGCAGGGATGACAATAACGTGGATCAGCGCAATGTCTCTCTAATATCTTCCCAAAAGTACCTCAGAAAAAGATCCCAATGAAGGAAAACTGTATCCTAACTGCGCTCAATTGATTTTTTAAATATTGAAGTGAACAAAATACAAACATTATTCATGAAGTACAAAAAACATGACTACAAAATATATACAGGTATTCAATAGTTATTAGTTGTTGTATTGGTTGTTAACAATGATCTCCGGAATGTTCAGCCATTTCGAAGGATATCTTCTTCTGAACAGAAGAAGGCATCTTACAGCATTTTGCCTTATGTAGAATCATCAGGAACCTCCTCTCAGTAATGTTTTCACATATAGAAGAAAATCATGAATTTCTTGAAATATACCAGTTGAAAAACCAGTGAATGGAGCGAGTCGAATCTCCCAGGGGTGCCGTGACCGAGAAGGCCCTTTCTCAGGCTTCCGCCCATCTAGCTTCAGGTTGCGGGTGCCGGGCCTCCAAAGATGAGCAGAGTGTATGGATTGGTTCATGTGGGAGGAGGTGGTCCTTAAGGTATGATTAATCAAGCATAGCCGCTGAGTCAGCATAAAGCACAATACTGTGTTTCAATGAGGACGTTGCAGCCCAGAGAAAACATGCACAGGAACTGAGAGGGGTGGAAAGAAGACGTCCTGTTATGAATAGCGACATTTCTGGCAGTAATAACGGGTGGTCTGTATATCCCTGTGTTGCCACAGAGTTCTTCTAAGGTGAAATTTTAGAGGTTTCTGGTTGGCCAGAAAATCTGAGGCATTTCAAGGAGAGCAACAGTGTTTTCATAAGATTGGAAGAAGCTGGGGGGGGGGGGCGTCCCTACAACTTGCATTTTGACTTCAGGCTCTCAAACGTTGCCAGAATTTTGTGCCGCATTCCATAGGTTTCCTCTGGGCACAGAGATGTGTGTGCTGATAATGCAATCCAGGAACGGAAGCCTCGATTTCCACAGTCACGAAAGATAGCTCTCAAAAAGCAGATTTCAGTTCTTCTTATTTATTTATTTATTTATCTCATTTGTACCCCACCCTCCCTGCAAAGCAGGCTCAGGGTGGCTCACAATCAGTGCATAGGTAAAGGTACAGGTTCCCTTGCTCGAAAGCCAGTCGAATCCGACTCTAGGGTTGCGGTGCTCATCTCCATTTCCAAGCCGAAGAGCCAGCGCTGTCCGAAGACATTTCCGTGGTCATGCGGCCGGCATGACTAAACACCAAGGCGCACGGAACGCTGAATCAATGCATAAATACAATTAAAACAACATAAAATCATTTAAAAATAAGTCAGTTATAACAAATACAAATTCGTAAAGTGCTGGTGATGGTTAATCAGTTGTTGAGGTGGCTGACTTTCTGAGTATACACAGAGGTCTGGAAATCATTCTGCTCATGATCTTCCTGTGGCAGAGGCTAGGTGTCAAAACCAAGGGCCGGGGCCTCAATATTGGGAAGGTGGCTCCCTAATCGAAGGCCTGGCGGAAGAGCTCCGTCTTGCAGGCCCTACTGAACTGTAAAAGATCCCGCAGGGCCCTGATCTCCTCCGGGAGCTCATTCCACCAGTATGGGGAATGTAACAGAAATTCTGTCCTGGAATTTTACCTTGTGATTAAAAATTTGCCTCTGCCCCAGTTAGAACCAGTGAAGCAAAACAGGACCTGTGATATATAGGGCAGTTCTGGAGCAGTTACTCCATTGTTAGGAATGAGGCTCTGCTTTACAAGACACGTACCCTATTAGAAAAAGTCGAATGTTATATACCGCTTCCGTCCCGCATACGCAGAGAGTGGCCATGATAATGTTGCCCTTTTCTCACCCCCTTTTTTCTCTTTCTTATAGAACCAGTTTATCTACCGAGACGGTAGCTTGGCTACAGAGCAAGGAATCCCTTTGCCATATCGGGCTGCTATCCCGAGCATCATGTCCGAACCCCCCCTTGCGCAAGGTGCTGCCGAGATCTGTGACGACACGTGCTGCAACGGCACCCTTCGGAAACAGGTGGCTGCCCTGGCGCAGGAGGAGAGCATCGCTCAGCGGTACAGCGCCGACCCAACCGTTTTTGTACCAGAACGTGGGCCGAGGAACGAGCTTGACGAAGATGGGTACATGACTCCTATGCCCGAGAAGTCCAAAACAGGTATATGTCTAGCGCTTGGTGCAATGTAAGATGCTCTGGTTCATATGAGAACCTCAGGGCTGTGTACAATGTTTTCCTTCCTTTATCGTCGCCAAAAATAAGGTAGTGAGCTAAGTCAGGCTGACAGATAAAGAAATCATGTTACATGTATATAGTATAGGGGAGCCAGTTTGGGGGGAGCCAGTTTGGTGCAGTGGTTAAGAGTGGTGGACTCTAATCTGGAGAACCGGATTTGATTCCCCCACTCCTTCACATGAAGCCAGCTGGGTGACCTTGGGTCAGTCACAGTTCTCTCAGCCCCAAAAACAAACCTAGCTCACCACAAAAAGAGCTAGAGTTTCAGGCTGCCAGACAATCTTTGGATCTCCTGGCTATACTTAGAAGGAGGAGGAGGAGGAGGAGGAAATTGGATTTATACCCCGCCCTTCACAACCCAAAGGAGCCTCAGAGCAGCTTACAAACTCCATTCCCTTCCCCTCCCCACAACAGATACCCTGTGAGGTGGGTGGGGCTGAGAGAGCTCTGACACAAACGGCTCTTTTTCAAGGACAGCTGTGCCCGAGCTTGTGACTGACCCAAGGTCAGACTGACCCAAGGTTCCCGCCCCATAACAGACACCCTGTGAGGTAGGTGGGGCTGAAAGAGCTCTTTCCAGAACTGTCCTTGAGAGAACAACAGAACTATGGCTTGCCCAAGGTCATCCAGCAGTTGCAAGTGGAGGAGTGGGGAATCGAACCCTGTTCTCCCGGACTAGAGTCCGCGCACTTAAGCACTACACCAAACTGGCTCTACTACATCCACTGCCATGCGATAATTATTATTTATTATCAATTATTATTAGTGTTTGCCAAAAAAAAAAGATCCGTATTCCATCATGTCCCTAGGAGAGCACTTTGATTGGCAGAGAATGATCTGCTGGTGATCCCTTGCCTCAAAGATGTCCGGCTGTCCTCAACTAGGGCCAAGGCCTTCTCACTCCTGGCCCCGATCTGGGGGAACTCTCTGCCGAACACCATCAGGGCCCTGTGGGATTTAATGCAATTCTTCAGGGTCTGTAAGGCAGAGATGTTCTTTTGGTTGAGGGCAGCAATGATGTGGCCATCGCTGGCACCCTCCTTCCCTCTTTTTTCTTGTTTCCCTCCTCCTGCCCTGCCCACGGGGCAGCAGTGCAGTCCAGTATTTGGATAAGATTTATTAAGTCAACATCTTGGATTTTAGGTTTTTAAATTACATGTGTAATTGTATGTTTGAATTTATTTATTGTTTTATCATTGATGTATATCGCTCAGGGGCCTGTTTTTACAGAGATGGGGCGACCCATAAATTGTGTTGTTGTTGTTGTTATGTTCTTTCATTTGGACAATTTCGAATTTTCCATCCCTGTTCGGTCAGCCACCGAATGCCTCCATCCATTTTAGTTCTTCCGTATGTGACTTGAAACTGTGGTTCTTCATTCTGTTTGCTTCTGCTGAAGTTTTTCCGTAGAATGTGAGCATTTTTGAATGTTGGTTGTACATTTGCACAGTCAGGCATGGTAGGGAGCCTAGTGCATGCCCACCCACCCCCAATGTGTTCCATTCTTATGAAAAGCAAGATCCACCCATCCTTCTCAAACCATATATGGCTTGTAATGGAGAGGTGAGAGGACTTAAAGGCTCTGTACATGTGACATTTTTGAACTACCAAAAATCAAAAGAAAAGGTGTTTTTTGGAACTATCGATGAAAAGCTGTGAGTAGTTTTACTTCCATTCTGTTGGAAAGGAAGGCACATTTATATAGTCTGTAAGAATTCTTGGGCAACGGAGTTGGAGCCACACATTGTGCACTCTTCAGGAGGAAGTTCCTGCTCTCAGCTGGGGCATTTCCCAATCCGCAATTACATAGTAAACATGAAAAGATTTTTTAAAAACTGTACAAAAAGACAATCAACAATCCAACATGTAAGTCAATTAGATTGTTGATAATTTACCTGTTGGACTTCTGAAAAAAATTAGGATTTACCAGTTGAATTTGTGTAAATACTACTTAAGCGGTATTCTGAATGTATTACAATCAGTTATACTTGTGTTATTCATTAGTAAATTGTTCTATATTTTTTCTTAGTGTCTTTATGCACAGGTGTTTTTTTAGCCTTTCCCAATCCGCCAGATTCAGCTGATAGAAAATAAAAATGTTTTTTATTAATATATTTTATTTTTATTTCAATAGATAACAGTTTAGAACGTAATATATCATAACAATAACATAACCGCTTAACAGCACAAAACAATATCATCACAATAATGTAGTGTACATTACAATATTGGCTTTGATTCATTAATACAGACTATAAACATTATTTAAGAACAGGTCGTATACCTTAATGCTTACATCATCTTAAGAGCAGGTTAATAGCATTGGTCAGCATGCATATCTTAAAGATGTTACTTTCAAAAACAGAGCCAAAGATTATCCTTAGCGAGTGGGGGAAATCACTTCCTTTTCTGAGAGAAACTGAATTATTGGGAATGAACATAAAAAATGTTGAATGCATTGACGTTCAAGGGGTATAAGTTCCGTTGGTTAAGATACGTTTTGTAATCTCCAGATCACCTGAATCCAGTGGAGGAGAACCCGTTTGTGTCTCGACGGAAGAACGGCGATCTGCAAGCCCTGGACAACCCAGAGTACCACAATGGCCAAACTGGGCAGCCCAGAGCAGAGGATGAGTACGTGAACGAGCCCTTGTACCTCAACACCTTTGCGAGCACCTTGGAGAACGCGGAGTACATGAAGAAGAACGGGCTTCCGTTGCCAGAGAAGCCCAGGAAGGCCTTCGACAACCCCGGTTACTGGAATCACAGCTTGCCTCCGAGAAGCACCCTACAGCACCCGGACTACCTGCAGGAATACAGCACAAAATATTTTTACAAACAAAACGGAAGGATCCGGCCGATCGTGGCAGAGAACCCTGAATACCTGTCAGAGTTCTCCTTGAAGCCCGGCACGATGCTGCCTCCTCCACCCTACAGACACCGAAACACTGTCGTGTAATCCCCGGAAGTATAGAAGGAGAGAACCATACCAGCCCTCTTTCCCCCTCTCCCCCCCTCCCAGCCCCTTTTATGCTTTCTTTCTCTTCCCTGTTTCCTTTCCGGTTCTTCCCCTTCGGTTGATGTCTTCGAATGGAAGGACGCTTTTAAGTCATTTTGTCCCAAGCATATGGGGAGAAAGGAAAGCAGAGAAGGAAGAGTCTGGCGTTTCTCACTTTCCAAGCAGCCGGAGGGCCGGGAGGTCAGCTGAGCCAACGGATACAAGTAGAAGCCCGTGGCACTGTCGCCCGCTTGTCAAGTTAGTTCACAGTGCAGTGATTCCGCTCGGCTGCTGCCGGGAAAGTCACACCGTGTCAGTTTCTATCATCTGGGAGCTGCTTGAGAATTTTCCGCAGACGGCGAGGGCCGTTTCCATCGAGGGGAAGGGGTGGGGGAGAAAAGGGCAACTTTTATAGCACAGGTGACGATCCCGTCGTAACCAAGATTGGGAATCCTTTACCATTTTTATCCTGCCACGTAAACGAAATGGCTAAGCCAGCTCGCCGTCCCCGCCTCCTTCGCGCCGCCACCCGAGGAATCCCATTGACGATCACGTGACTCCTGCCTTTTATCGGTCACTCCTGCAGCCGTGAGCCCATTTCTGCCTGCTCAGACTTCGCCGCTTCGTGCTTCTGTGGGCGACGTTACAGGTTTTATACAGGTCAATATGAAAACAGCCCTTTTTTGAACGGGGGGGAAAATACTAATTTCATGACAGCAGCAGCATAATTACAGAGAAATGTCTCATTTTCGAGGGCAAACCGCCCACCAAGATTTATATATATAGAGTCTCTTGGTCATGTTTTATACTTGCTGAGCAGAAAACGCAGAAATTCTCCCCCTCCGTTTCTTTTTTGGGTTTATCGGCTGACGTTGGGAAGCGGAGACAACACTGAGGACTTGACAGAGGGGGAAATTTATATTTTTTATTAAATCCACTGGTGTGTTCTGAGAGTGGCCTGCTGCTAACGGAGGTGAGATTGGGAGGGAAACGAGAAAAAAGGTACTGATCTGGGTAAAATGCACTGGGCAGTTCACTGGAAGATTCGCTTGCACTTAAGTGATGGTTTTTAATTTTATTTTGTCCTCGCTTTGAACTATATTCTGGAATCTGAATGAAGCAATATGGAAGTGACCAGCAAAACAGAATAATGTAAAATGAATGATAATAGTAATAATAGTAATAATATATTAAAAAGATGACTGTGGAAATGCCAAAACAAAGTGAAATCAAGTCTTTGGGACTTTGTCCACCGGTGCACCAGCTGCTCACGGGAAACGTGTTTGGATGCTGTCTCCTGACAAGAAGCCGATCCAGTTTGCACTGGGACAGTGTGTGTGTGTGGGGGGGGGGGAAGAAGTGTGGTCCTGATTCTGACTAGCCAACCCAGACTGTTGCGGAATTGTCGCTGAGACTTCTCAAGTACAAAGAAGGAACACCAGACAAAGTGTTAGACATTTGGGGCATGCAGGGCTGTTGTGTCTGCAGTCAAATCTGTAAATCATCACTCCCTTCTCTCCCTGTACCTGCCGCGTCCGTTCACCTTTGGCTTTCACAGGCTGATTTTTTGCTTCAGTTTGAAATGTCAAGGTTGACATTATTTTAAACTCGAGTTTAGTTCTAGCTGTCTGGCTGACCAGGTGACGCAAGGACAGGAAGCAATGGTATTTTTTGTAATGAAAGAAAACCAATCACATTTCCCTGTCTTTAACGTATCTGAGATGCAGTTATCGGAGGGAAGAGCATTTCAGTAGACGCACTTTAGTATTCTTAAGACCACCCCCAGAAAATAGGGGCAAGGGCTGAGGGAGCAGCGTGGACTCCACTGTTTGTGGAATGGAAACAATTTCAAGATGGCGGCAAGTCAAAGAGTCTTCAGTAGCTTGTGAGGAAGCATCTGAAGCTTTGGGTTTCCTCGGCTGCTGTACAAGCTCATGGTCTCAGCAGTGGCCAAGCAGCCAATCATTAATGAAATCCACTTCTATAATGTCCTGTCTTCTGTCTAATTTCTTCTGAGTCCCCAAACAATGCATTTCTTTCTTTTGTACAAGCTCATGGTCTCAGCAGTGGCCAAGCAGCCAATCATTAATGAAATCCACTTCTATAATGTCCTGTCTTCTGTCTAATTTCTTCTGAGTCCCCAAACAATGCATTTCTTTCTTTCTTTCTTTTTTAGCAGAATTTAAGAGGCAGTATCTCCATGCAGGGAAGAGAGAATTCTAAAATCCTAGTTTCTCTCTTAATAGCCTGATCCCGTAAGCACCAGCAGAGCGATCCCAAATACATCAGAGCAGTTGTGCTGGGTCAGACCAATGGTCCATCGACTCCAGCCTCGAGTTTCATGCAGGTGCCCCCAGAAGGCATACGAGGAGAGTGCAGAGGCCCACGCCTCCCCGTGTTATTGCCCCTCCATCGCTGGCGTGAAGAATATTGCTGCCTCTGGAATTGGAGGTCCCCTTTATTCATTGCTGCTAATAGCCATTGATTGTCCTGTCCCCCCTTCCCCTGGAATTTGTCTAGTCGTCTTCTAAAGGCAACAAAGTAAATTTCATAAGTTAATTACTTTTTGAACGAACAAATCGTCTCTTTTACCTGTCCTGAATCTCCCGCTGGCTTGATCTAGTATTATGGCAAAGGGAGAAGAAGTTCTGTGTTTCCGTTTTCTCCACTCCCTACCTAAATTTGAGAAGCCAGTATCCTATCCTCCCCTTAGTCATCTTTTCTGTAACCAAAAACAGGACCCCAAACTCCTTTGCCATTCTACATATGCTTCAAATCTTTTTATGGTTTTGGTTGCCCTTTTGCTGTACTTTTTCCAAAATGCCACAATATCTTTGTTTTATATGAGAGCCAGGACACTACATAGCATTCGGAAAGCAGGCACACCATAGATCCGAACATGGGCTTTATAGAATCATAGAATCACAGAGTTAGAAGGGGGCCAGACAGGCCATCTAGTCCAACCCCCTGTTCAATGCAGGTTCAACCTAGAGCATCCCTGACGAGTGTTTGTCCAGCTGTGGCTTGAAGACTGCCAGTAACAACTACAATAATAATACAGTCCACAGTAAACAATGACCAAGGAAAACCAATAAATAACAACTGTGCACTGAAAAAACCCGCACAAGAGCTATTAAAAAGAGACTTCGACACAATAAGTAATGCAATACATGTAATCCATCATAGGAAAATACACAAGTCCATAATATCCCAAAGGGAAAGAACAAAGTCCAGAATAACAATCTCTCAAAACAATCAAGTCTGGAATAGATGTCCACAATGAAGTCTGGAATAGATGTCCAACACTTTACCTAGGTATTGATTAGTGTTTCGGACTTCAGGTTCTTCCTCAGGAACTAAAAGCCACTACAGGAAGTCTCATGGCAGTTTCTTAACAGGTAAACATTATTCAGTTTCTATATGGGCCAGGTCTCCTAAGCTTTAGAAAGCACCTACAAGGGTTGCTACTATGTATGTTGGACCAAACATGCCTCCCAGTGACAGGAACTGACTGTTACGTTTTCATTCCCCTTTATAATAATTCCTAGTCTAGAATTTGCCTTTTCCACTGCTGTGACATTTTCATTTCATTCATCTACCACATTCCCAGGATCCCTTTCCCGGTCAGTCACCACCGGTTTGGACCCCATCAGTATATATTTAAAGTCAGGATTGTCACAAAGTGCATCACTTTACTTTGTCACAGTTGTCCCCAACTCACCCAGATCAGACAGCTCCTTCACAGTCCGCTTTGGTTCTAACCAGGGTTCCCTCTAAGGCTGAGTTAGTGTGAGCTAGCTCACAGTTTTTTAGCCTCCAGCTCACAGATTTTTGTCTCAGCTCAGGATGGATGGCTCCAGAACAAACTAATTTATGCAGTCGCCAAATTGCTCGCGTACAACTTTAATGCCAGTAAGATCACAAAGTAGATTTTTTGCTCACAAGACTCCACAGCTTAGAGGGAACATTGGTTCTAACCATCCTGTGTAATTTGGTGTCATCCACAAAATTGGTTGCTTCACTGTTCACCTTACTTTCAGATAATTTATGAGCAAATTAAATCAAGCAGCATCGGTTACAACAGCTATCTTTTTGACAACTGTCCATTTACTTCTACCCTCTGATACCGGTCTTTTAATGAATTTCTAATCCATAAGTGGACCAGTCCTTTTATCACCTAAATATACTCAGGAGTCTCGGTGAAGGACTTAGTCAAAAGCTTTTTGGAAGTCCAGAATATTTGTAATGTCTATCAGATCATCCTTGTCCATGTGTTTGCTAGCCCTCTCGGAAGGTTGGTGAGACAGGACTGTCATTAACAGAAGCCATGCTGATTCTTCCTTAGTAGTGCTTGTTCCTCTCTGAGCTTAATAATTCTGTCTTTAATAATCGTTTCTACCAATTCACCTTGAACAGATTTTAGAGTAACTGGCCTATACCTTCCTAGATCTTCTCTACACCGTTTATTTTTAAGAGTGCCATCACAATGTGCCATGTCCAGTTCACCATAATAGAGGCCAATTTTAACAACAAATTGCGTAGTTTTGTGAGGTCCTTCAGTTCCTATGGAATCATCACATGTATGCCATCCAAGAAAACTGAACTGGTTTCCTTGTCTTTTCACCACACGGCTCTCCTCTTAGATCAGTGGGACTTTTCCTAATCTATGGCATGCGACATATTTGTCCTTCCACAATTGCAGCTTTAAACATTTTCCAAGCATCCCAAAAAGATTTGACCCTGTTTGCCAACCATCACTGCTCCCTGTTGACTAATCCTTGCTCTGAAGTCAACCTTTCAGGCAGATTTCCATTCACATGTATACTGAACTGAAATATACTGGGTTCGTAATAGTACTGTGATCCCTGTTCCCAATAAGACTTAAGTTCCTCATCAGGACCTGAATACCGCTCAGGACCAAGTCCAGAGTTGCCTCCTCTTTTCATCCCCACCTCCATTTT